AGGCGTCCGGAATGTCGTTACACAATAATAATAAGAATAATAGTAAATAAGTAGAAAGCAATGAAGTTATGTATGGAATGTAATGTAGTTCGTAAGGTTACGGCATGAAGTCCCGCCACTGTAAATCATAGCAACATGCAACTACACGCCCGCAGCATAGCCGACAAGCGATGCGTGGGAATAAAGCACTCGTAAATTGAACTTCGTCTCGCACGGTTTATTTTTTGATCGACCTTTATCGCCGCCCACAGCTCTGGTCTGTATTGCTAATTCCCGCGTCTCAAGCCTAAGTAAAGGCATCAAAAAAACAAACAAACATCAAACTTCAAACTTCGTTGTCCGCAGAGTGGCTCAAATACAAGAGCTTACACGGGTACAGGATTGGTTCAAAGGCGACACAAAGTCGAACCCTGCAGATATTGTATCTAGGGGATTATTGGTAATAGAATTAAGCAAGTCAACGATGTGGTGGAACGGTCCGGACTTTTTAATAGATTCAGGAGAGGATCTGGAAAAGTTCAATTGGAGTGAAGAAATAGAAGCCATGCCTGAGGAGAATAAATGTAAGTTTTCACTGACAATTAGTAAGGTAGAAAGCAGTGAAAAGGTCGATCTTGTGGGAAGATGCAAATTTGCAAATGATTTCCTCAAATTGCAGCGAGTCTTTAGCTACATTTTTCGCTGGCGTAGAATTTCATTGAGATCGAACTCATTCATGCACGAAACAGGCAACCTCACTGCAGGTGAAATGGAGGGCGGATTACGCTATATTGTTTACAATGTGCAACAGTTGAGTTCGCACGAAGAATTCACTAAGCTAAAAGAGGAAAAGGTGATAAAATCAGCAAGAACTCAAAGTTTAAGTCATTTCTTAAGAGAGGAGGAAGGAATAAGTATTATTCGAGTCGGGGTAAGGTTGACCAATTCCGAATTGCCATTTGATACAAGGCATCCCATCTTAATGCCTAGTAACCATATGGCGGTGAATGCGCTCGTTGAATTCACACATCGAAGGAATATATATGCGGGGCACAATCATTATGCGCCTTTTTGCGGCAGAGATATGGATAATCGATTACAGGAAACTTGACCGCGAGGTGATACGTGGCGCATACCATGCTTTCGTCGTCGACCGGTCTGTGCAACACAGCTCATGGGAGCACTGCCTGCCAGTCAAGTGCGAGGAAATATCTACCCATTCGAGCGGGCGGGACTGGACTTTTCTGAGCCTATATGAATGCACACTATGGATGCACATGCGAGGAAAACGCCCAGTCAAGGTGTATCTGTGCATATTAGTATGCTTCGTAACAAAGGCCTGCCATATAGAGATCGTGTCGGACCTAAGCTCAAATGCCTTTTTCGCACGACGTGGATTGAGCTCAGATCTAGTTTGCGACAACGCTACCAATTTTGTAGGCGCTTCACGAGAGGTAAACAGAGTTTTCGACCTGCCCATTCAGTAGCTCATTGACGACGAATGCAGTCAGCAAGGAGTCAAGTTTCACTTCATCCCTCCCGCGCTCCCGCACTTTGGAGGATTATGGGAGACCGCCGTGAAGGTGACCAAACAGCTGCTGGTGAACTGCACCAACAGTAAAGCACCAAACTACGAGGATATGTCTACGGCCATCGCTCAAGTAAAAGCAGTGATGAACTCTTGGTCTTTGCATCCATTGTCATCGGATCCGAATGACTTGGAAGCGTTGACGCCCGGGCATTTCTTGGTTGGCCGACCGCTAAACACGCTGGTCAAACCATTCGACGAAGCACTGTTGAAGCTGTTGAAGCTGTTGAAGCTGTCCATGAGAAACCATTGGAAACGCATCCGGAGGTACACAACATGTTCTGGCGCCGCTGGTCATCGGAATATCTGACGTTGCTGTAGAAGCGAACAAAGTGGAACACTCTAGCCAACAACATTCAAATTGGCACACTGGTCCTTATTGCTGAGGACAAGTTGCAAGTTGCAGAGTTACACACAGGAGCGGATGGGGCAGTTCGGGTTATAAGACTCAAGACCAAAACTGGACTCTTTAAGCGCAACGTACACAAGCTCTGCCCACTGCCGACCGATACAGATGATCTTAATGTTGGTAGGAGCTTCCAAGGTGGGGAGAATGTTGACGCCACTTAATATATTTTTTCATATTATATTAATGAACTTTAGCAATGTTAACATGAATTTGTCAATGAATTTGAATTTGGCGCTAAGAAGAAAATGTACAAGAAGAGAAGCGCAATCGCTAGTATCGATAAAAATATGTATGAAGATCTATGATCACTAGAATTAATATAGAGAAAATAAACGAACGAGCAAGAACTAACATCGAGCGGATTGAGGAATATGTAGCATATTGGACCTATCTATAGGAAACTTTTTCCAAAGGCTGAGCAGGTGGTGGTTCGGTTCCCGTCCGGGTACGTGCCTGTTACGGCTTCCGTCTCATCGGCAAGAAATGGGGGGGTTATCCCTAAACATGGGACGGGACACGGCTCTCCTCCAACAATCATCACACAGATACGTGCAAGAGACATATTGGGAACAAACACAAACACGAGTAAATCTACACCTAACCACGCACACGGACACCTACATACATACATACGCCCCACTAGGGCACGTGTATGGCTCGATATATATTCCTACCAAAATGCTTTCAATACAATAAAAATAAATATATAAATTAAAAAAAAAAAGCGCAGCACTGGCCATAAATGAAACATGTTTTTTTTTTTATTAATTTAGCGAATGGAAAAGTTTCAAAATAAACAAGAATAAAACTGCAGACTCTTTCAGAGCAAAGGAAGCTGCTTTTGTAGCTAAATTTGACAATTTGTTCGATATGGCACACGCAGATGCCATGTCGCTGATTCAAATTGAAGAAGACAAGTCATTTTTGAAATGCAGCGTCAGAATCATAGACCAGGCAATATAGCTGGACTAGACACAATATCTGTGAAAAAAGATCAACGGAAATCCGAACGCCAACTGAACGAGCAAGCCCGAAAGCGAAAAGAAAGTGAACGAATCGCTACTGATATAGTTCCATTCAATGCAGTAAGAATCGGATTATCAGCATCTTTATCTCTAGCAATGCAGCCGCGCACTTGATTATTGCTATAGCTTAAGCTTTAGGACACGATATCAGTCAATATGCTTTAAATCGGAGAACAATACATTGATTGCGAGAAGAAAACCGACAAACAATTTCTGTGTCGGCCAAAAAAAACTGTCAAAATGTGGTAAAAGAACTTTATAGTACTTATTTAGGGATTTTTGTAAAATTAAGTTACTTCTATTTTCAGATGTCAGCAGTGGTTCATTGGGATGGGAAAATGCTTCCTAAATTGACTGGTCACGGCAAAGTGGAACGATTGCCAATCATTATTTCATAAAGTAAAGGCGAACAACTTTTTGGAGTGCCAAAATTAAGTGCATCTACTAGATTAGAAATTTCGAACGCAACTTATAGCTTGTTGAAGGAATGGGGCATAGTTGATAAAATCAAAGCAGCCTGTTTTGATACAACTGCATCAAATTCTGGAAGACTTAACGGAGCTGCATTCCTACTAGAGCAATTATTAAACCGAAGTCTTTTGTACCTCCCGTGCAGACATCACATCAGTGAAATATATTTGCGGGCAGCATTTGAATCATGTGCAGAAGCTATATCAGGTACAAACGTTGCACTCTTTGCAAGATTTAAAGACTCCTGGAACTCGATAGTGGAACTCAAACCAAGTTTAAGTTTGGTGTGTCTAATGAGTACGTTGCAGCTTATTTAAATGACAGAAGAAATGCAAAATTTTATATGCGAAATGTATAATTACACCGATGTTGCAACCACTTGTGGTATTTATCTGATGAAAATATCGCACTTGCATTGTTTGACGATAGTTCACATACATTGAGAAAAGAGAAATGGTGAAACAACTTTTGGAACTTCGTGTTGACGATGAGGATGTCGAAACTTCCACAAAACGCTTAATTTTAAAAGAACAAGAATTGCAAACGTTTATTACAAAGAGCTTATCTGATTTTGTCACACCTTATTCTTCGCAATTTTTTTAGCGATTCAATATTTCCAAAGACTTTTTAACTGAAGATCCTTCAGAATGGCACAATAATGAGCACTATCAAAATGCTTTGGAAATATTTGAAAATTTAAAAGTGGTAAATGATACAGACGAGCGAGATGTTAAACTTATGCAAGACTATAATCAAGTACTGACAACAAAAGAAGATGAGTTTCAGAAGTTGCTGAACGTCGCAAAAGAATATTCTAGTCAATATCCATCGAGAAATAAAAATTGCTTACTTTAATACAAAAGTCGACTTTTAAATATATTTTGTTGGTTGTAAATAGTCTGACAATATAATGTGTGACAATTCACCCCAAATTAATTTTTTCTTATACCAGTGTGTTGGTTTACGGCTGCGCCTTGACGGAGCCCCAATCTGCTGAGATAATGATGCGGCACACAAAGTGGTATTACACCTGTGGCGGCAGTGGACGTTCCTTAGGGGGGCGGATCCGGTGGTCCCAGAGAAAGGTTTTACACGCGGATTTAATGATTGCGTAATGATTTATTAGAGGTTAAGTTAAAAATACAATTTTTGGCACAGAGGGTGCGTTCTGCTTTCCTGGGCTGTCGCTTACAGACTGTATCATCGGCTTGCTGTTCATTGCCGTCGATGTGGTTCTTGAACTTATGTAGTACTTATATGCTAGTCCTAACTGCACCTTGCGACGCGACAATAGCGTACGAGAGCGCCGTATAAGAGCGTTACGAGCAGACCGTAGACGTTTGCCGATCGCTGTAGCTCCCAAAACAACTACGAAAGAGATGCATAAGGCATACTCCCAAAACATAGGCGCAACGAAATCTGCGCTGCTATAATATAAAATAGTTCCCCGGTAGAAACTTTGCGTTGCCTAAACATTCTCCCCCCTTGACGATAGCTTCAGTATCGTCTAATCCAGATTCGTTTTTTTTTTCCTTTTTTTTCCAACTTCAGGCCAATAGAACTGAAAATAAAGCTCAAAACAACGCTGTAACGAGAGAGTGCAGTTTATGAGTGTTGTGGAGGGTCAATGTCAGAATTTAGCCAATTATCTTGTATAGGTAGAGGGCAGAGCTTTGCAACCGGTCGTTTAATCAGGCCCCCGTTAGATTTTAGCGTGACCACTCGAACTAAACCATCCTTCCCTCGGTGAGTTTGCATAATTCGACCAAGGGGCCAGAAATTAGACGGAAGCCGCTCGTCTTTAACAATAACTATGTCGCCGGCCTTTAAATTCTCCTTCCTTTCTAACCATTTCGGTCTCCGTTGCAATCGCGTTAAATAGTCAGAGCTCCAACGTTTCCAGAATTGCTGAACCATATATTGACAGTTTCTCCATCGTTCCGTGTGGCTAATGTTATCAACCTGTCCCTCAGGTAGAGCAAGTAAAGATTCCCCTATTAAAAAGTGACCAGGGGTTAATACCATTAGGTCTTCTGGATCATTGCTCAGAGGGCATAGTGGCCGAGAGTTTAAACAAGCCTCGATTTGAGCTAGCACAGTAGCCAACTCTTCATACGTAAGTGTACGAACTCCGATCGTCCTCTTCAGGTGGTATTTCATCGATTTAACACCCGCCTCCCACAGTCCTCCAAAATGTGGTGCAGATGGAGGGTTAAAATGCCAAGTGATCCCATCATCTGCTAGTTTTGAGAGGATAGTATTTTCGATGTACCGTCTGTATGCCAACTTATCAGCTTGCAGCTTTCGATTTGCGCCAACAAAATTCGTCCCACAATCGCTATATATGTGAGTGCATTTCCCACGTCGGCCAATGAATCGCTGCAGTGCTCCCATAAATGCGGTTGATGTCAAGTCCCCCACGGGTTCCAAGTGGATGGCTTTGGTCACCAGACATATAAATACAGCGATGTAGCCCTTGATTGCTGTCCGACCTCTTCCTTTAGAAGGGGATATGTTGAACGGTCCTGCATAATCAACTCCGATGGATTCAAAAGCTCTTTGTGGGCGAACCCTAACCGCTGGCAAATCTCCCATTTGCTGACAAGTGGTCTTCGGATTCAACCTGTAACATACGACACATTGGTGAATTTCCTTTCGTACAGCATTTTCGCCCGTTCAGTATCCAGAATCTTTTTCGTATATGGCTGAGTGTAATCGCAGCTCCCCCATGCAGAGTACTGGCATGGCTAAAACGTATAACCAACGTTGTCAGCGGATGCTTGTAGGGAAGAATATACGGATGTTTCTCCGCTTTCGACAGTAATGCGTCTCTCAATCGGCCTCCAAGCCGAATAACATTTTCTTCCTTATCAAAATAAGGATTAAGTGGCAGCAGCGAACTCTCTTTGGTTGCACCTTTCCCGTTCATTAACATGTTCCATTCCTTGGGAAAAGCTTCCAATTGACACATTCGGACTGCGCACAAGAGTCCTCCGCTTAGCTCGTCTATACTGAGAAAGCCAGCCTTCCGATCAGTCTTGGTAACACGGCAATTCCTTAAGAACCGATTCACATATGATATGACGCGGATTAGGCGTGTAAGCGACGAACAGCTCTCCAGTAAGGAGGGACAGGACTCGTCCGTGACAGATACAAAATTACATTCAACCTTCTTCATTTCGCTGCTCACTACTGTGTCCATTGCATGGTATACTGCTGTGGTTGGCCATTCCGTTTCAGGCGATTGAAGCCATCGCGGCCCATGCCACCACAATTGGCAGGAAGACAACTTCGTCACATTGACTCCACGGCTTAAAAGGTCTGCGGGGTTATCCTCCGAGGCAACGTGTTTCCATTGTTTCCCATCGGTTAGCTCCAAAATCTTGCTGATTCGGTTGGCAACGAACATCTTCCATCTCGTAGCTCCTCCTCGAATCCAGCTCAGAACGATCATTGAGTCCGACCAGAAAACCGTTTTTGAAAAATCAACTGGGATATTTATTTGGTCCTTTAGATATTTGAATATTTTGACAGCCATAACTGCTGCACACAACTCGGCTCGTGGGATTGTAAGCTGTGGCTTTATAGGCGACACCTTACATTTTGCTACCACCAACTCCACATGAAAAACTTCCTCTTCTTTTCGCATCCGCAAATAGGCTGCTGCACCATATGCACTCATGGAGGCGTCACAAAATATGTGCAACTGCGGAATAACGCCTGACATTCCCCAAGCTATATACCGTGGTATATGCACCTTCGACAAATTTGGCAACTCCAGTGTGAATTTCTCCCATTCCCTTTGAATAGATAGCGGAACATGGTCATCCCAATTAAGTTTTGTTTTCCATAAGGTCTGCATAAGACGCCGTCCCACTATTGTTACTGGGCTTAGCCAACCCATCGGATCGAATAGCCTTGCAATCGTGGATAATATATTCCTCTTCGTCGGTGTACCTGTCGGAATATCGAAGTTTAAATGAAATCGGAATTCGTCTTCACTGGGGTTCCAATATAAGCCCAGTGCACGTATCTTTTCATCGCCCTGCAAATTTACCGGTCCCATTGTCTCACGGTGCTCCAGAGGGATTCCGTCTAGCAGCTGTGTGCAATTACTAGCCCATTTACGTAATTCAAACGTTCCACTTTTCATCATCCCGATGACTTGAGTTTGAATATCCTTGGCATCAGCCAGACTATCCGCTCCTGATAAAACGTCATCCACATACATTTGACGTCTTAGTACATCTGCAGCCAACGGGTAGTTATGAGCTTCATCCTGGGCCAATTGTTGCATGACCCTTATGGCCAAATATGGAGCACAGCTCGTGCCAAACATCACCGTGCAACATGCGTACTCCTCAATTTGATCGCCTTCATCCGGTTTCCACAGAATCCTTTGGTATTGAGCATCCCTCTCATGGACATTGATGCACCTGTACATCTTTTCGACATCTGCCATGAATGCGTATTTCAACGACCTCCAGTTAATCAACACGCTCGGTAGATCCCGATGCAGTTTTGGCCCGATCGCCAATACTTCATTTAACGCCTTTCCATTGCTCGTTTTCATTGACCCATCAAATACAACACGCACCTTTGTTGTTGTCGAGGATTCCTTAATCACTGGATGGTGGGGTAAATAGCAATGTGTGGCTCCCCCTTGGCCATTAATACACCTTGATCTTCAACGTCGCTCCACTGGGAGGAAGCCCTCTTCATTTGGCCTAGTTCCAAATATTCACGGATCGTTTGGGAATATATTTCCTTCAACTTGGCATCCTTCCGTAAACGTTTGTCCAGGTGGCACAACCTTTTTAGAGCTGGCCGGTACGACGCTCCAATCACTGCGCTAGGGTCCAATGTCGATAACAATGGGAGCCGCACTACATATTTCCCATACGACAACCTTTTGTATGTTTCTAGAAAATGTTCCTCACACCATTGTTCTTCATTCGATAATCCTCCAGATTCTTGCTCATACTGCTCAAGCTCCCAAAACCGTCGGAGCAACCCTTCCAATTCCGCAGATGAATCATCCTGGACCACCTGAACCGTATGTACCAATGCGTTAGTTGCATAATCCTGGACCTTCCCTGACATAATTAACCCTAAACGGGTGTTCTACGCGATAGGCGTGCCTGCAGGTCCACGATGTATCTCGCTCAACATCAATTCATCATATATGTCACTACCTAGCAAAATATCCACTCCTTGGGGTACAAAATAATTGGGATCTGCTAAACATAGATGTTTGAAATGAGTCCATTTTTCCATCGATATCCGACGATCCGGCATCCTCTTACTAATCTTCGGCAAAACATACGCTGTGACATTGTACTTCACTTGCGGTTCAAACCGTGATCCGATTTTCAACAGAACTGAAGAGGATGCTTCCGTAATCCGCGCATTGGATAACCCGTTTACCTTTAAATGTGTCCTTTGTCGACACAATCCTAGTCTTTGCGCTACGTTTTCCGATACAAACGAAGCTTGCGATCCTTGGTCTAAGAATGCCCTAAATTGCAACGGGAAGCCTTCTGATGACTCAATGGTGACCAACGCCGTAGGCAGCAGTACCTCATATTTTTCCTATAGCGTGCGCACCATTTATGACATTCGACGTGATCTGTTGCACCTGATCCCCAGAATCCCTTACTTGACGCTTCACATGGACAAGAGTGTGGTGTCGGTCTGTGCAAATCGAACAATTGTTTTTTAGCCTGCACCTGCGAGACTGATGGTTGCTTCCCAAACAATTGAAACACAAGCGATACTTCATCACCGATGCCCGCCGGTCTGTTACATTCATGCCTCCAAATACCTTGCAGTCGACTATGGAATGACCTTCAGTTCCACAGACTGCGCATTGATCCACCGATCGGGCAACAAATGAAGATTTAACATCCCTGCGTTTTACGCCGGACCCAGCAGCGCCTTTACTCTCCTTGTTCGATGACAACACTCTGTCAGCTGAGGCTGTCGTGACCATCGTCCTATACTGACCGTCTAGCTGGGTAGACAGCTCCTCGAAAGTTGGTAATTCTTGCGATTGAGCTATCGATTTTTCCCAATCCAATCGTATCTGCGCTGGCAGCTTCTTCGTCATCAGGTATACCAAAATGTGGCTCTGATGGGTGAGATCCACCCCACCTTCTCCAGCGATTTAATGCATGAACGACAAGTTTGCAAAAACCCTTTTAGCGACACAGGGTCGTCGTTACGGACCATGGGCTGTTGCTCGAGAACCTGCATATAATGCTGAAACAACACTCGCTTATTATCATACAATTTCAACAACATTTGCCAAGCTACACTGTAATTAGATTCTATCAGAGTAAGGTGTTGTATATCCCTTTTCGCTTCATCTGAAAGAGAATCTTTGAGGTAGTGAAATCGATGCAAATCCGTGAGTCTAGGACAATTATGGACCCGAGCTTCAAACATTTCCTTAAATGCCGGCCAATCCACAAATTCTCCACTGAACATGGGTAGTTTCACTCTAGGAAGTTTAACCTCTTCAACACCGGCTGACCCGCTAACACCAGTAGGTTCGGTGGACCCATTTCGCTGCACTTCACCGGATGAGATGAGCGTTGATGCAAGAATCCGACCTCTCGAGATGTTTAATTCCGTTCGAATTTGCGCGACACAATCGATATACGCTTCTTCAAACTGCCCTTCAAGATCCACCTCCAAATAACCCGGCTTCACCAAATCATCCTCCGACCGTATCAGCTTACGATGATTCGCGCGAAATTCCGCATGTACCGTGGTCATAGCTTCCAATCTAGCCTCCATATGCGCTTCAGATTTACTGGTCTCATCATTTTTGAACTTTTCCAACATACGCTTCACCGAGTCTACCAACGCAGCTTGCTCGCAAATTAATTCCACTACACCTTCGGCCATGACTCAACTCTCTATCACACAACAACTCACAAGTGCACTAACCTTGCGTAAATGAACCTTCCACTGTTTAAAGGTGTCCAACGAAGACCAACGGTTTGTTTCCAGCCAGTCCCAAGCAAAGCAGTCCCGGGTTTCGGCACCAAAAATATGTTGGTTTACGGCTGCGCCTTGACGGAGCCCCAATCTTGAAAACGGCACACAAAGTGGTATTACACCTGTGGCGGCAGTGGACGTTCCTTAGGGGGGCGGATCCGGTGGTCCCAGAGAAAGGTTTTACACGCGGATTTAATGATTGCGTAATGATTTATTAGAGGTTAAGTTAAAAATACATTTTTTGGCACAGAGGGTGCGTTCTGCTTTCCTGGGCTGTCGCTTACAGACTGTATCATCGGCTTGCTGTTCATTGCCGTCGATGTGGTTCTTGAACTTATGTAGTACTTATATGCTAGTCCTAACTGCACCTTGCGACGCGACAATAGCGTACGAGAGCGCCGTATAAGAGCGTTACGAGCAGACCGTAGACGTTTGCCGATCGCTGTAGCTCCCAAAACAACTACGAAAGAGATGCATAAGGCATACTCCCAAAACATAGGCGCAACGACATCTGAGCTGCTATAATATAAAATAGTTCCCCGGTAGAAACTTTGCGTTGCCTAAACACAGTGATTTTGTGCCAGGTGTCCCTGCCATTGAAGCCACCTACTTGGGCCTATGTCGAATAGTTTGAGGCGAAATAT